TGGATGCGACAGTAAGTGAAGAATTAGCTTTATGTAATCGCTAAAACCTATCTTGTGAATGATAGCGAACTTATCGTACATTTCAAATGCATTTTTTGATCTTTGTAGTAGGGAGTTAAGTGAATTATGTTGATTTTGAAACATGTATTAGTGATTTTAGCAGTGTACTGCATGTATGTTGAAGGTATGCGTTTTACAAGATTGTTCTGATGGTATACTAACCAGATAAAATTCTCTCAGTGAATTCATGGAGATGAGCATTAATGCGAATAGTGAGTAAACCTTCTTTGAAGTTGTTAGGTATGCAGAGGAAAAATATACCAATAATTATTGTGTTAAGTCTATGGTGGCCTTGGACCTTAAATGTACATTTCCTATTGGTCGATGCTTATTTCACTTGTTAAATATTGTTTTCTATTTTTATGGTACGATGTTTGTGCGTCTTTGGTCCGATCAATAATTCGCTACCCTCTAATCTGCCGTCACAGTTATAGCAGAAGTAGATGAGAGTATTATGATAAATCTGAGCTGTGTAAATACAATTCTTTTCACTTTAATGATATGATTAGGCCTAACGGTCAGGTCTTAATTGATGGGCGAATGAATAATTTACAAATTACTTTCCTCCAATCGCCTAAAATATTTTATCATGTTCAATGTTCATAATTTTTATGTAAGCATGTTATTTTATACATAAAAAAATCATTCGTCTGGTTAGTGGTCTATTCTTGATTTCTAATTATTCGGAAGCCAAAGTCAATCATACGGTCTCATGACTAACCATTACTCAGTCAAATTATATTATTTAGTTCATCTATTGATTCATATTACATCCATCCGCTTTAACAAACAAAATTTCGCCTCACACGAATACGCACTCCATAACAGTGGTGACAGGGATGCGACTTATTTTCACCAACCTTGTGTCTAATTGATTTGAATTCAAAATAATTTAAACTTCATTGTTCTTTGCACCGAGATTTTCGTCGCTAATTGATACGTTCTTGCACCGTATCAATAATTCGCGACTCCAACTTCCATACAGTGATCCTGAGTGCTGTTGGATGTATGAGAGCGGTTATCACATCCCGGTTGCCCACACGGTAGAAGGATTCTTCCAGAGGTACCTGAAAAGAAAGTCGTGTTAGAGGTGATCTTAGTGACCTGAGAGCGTGACTACAGTGCCCTAAGGCCAACTGCTTGAGGCCGGTCACACACGACCTTTTTGTGAGTAGCTTTCGTGTAAACTCCATGAATGTTGGGACCTTACCGCCGGAGACGGATATTCGTGGGATAAGGCGAGGTGTGCATTTTTCGGGTCAAACTTTTCTAACTCCACGCTTCCTTGTGGGTGGGCAGCATTTCTGTTATGTTGGTTGTTTGAGAGAAACACCTTAATGCCGTCACGCATTTACCGGAGCATGGAAAAGGAGAGGATACACTAGTTCCGCTCACAGTATTAAAATCGGAGTCGCGAATTATTTGCAGAGTGTATGAAAGTATCACTCGGACACTTGATTTATAAGTATAATTTCTCTGTCAAGCATGCTATGTGTAGCGTGAATAGATTGAACATACCTTTTTTGGTTGGAAGAATAAACAGATTAAGTCTAACTATACAGTCATAATAATCTTGATAGTTATAGATACAACTAAGGGAATAAACAGAGACTTACACTTGGGTATTACTTGTGGTTGAAGCTAATCACTTATCTTTAAAATAAACCACTAATAAAGGATATGGATTGACACAGGATACATTCGACTGACATTTTAAAAAATAATTCGAAGAAATTATCAGCACAGTAATTGTACTAAATATGCTTATTGTATGCTTTTTCATGTATACTGCTTTTATTCTCTATTCTAGGTGCCCTTATCACATATTTCAGTCGATATTGGTTACAGATTAGGTAAAATTCATATACAATCACAAGTAAAAGCAGTTGGTCAGTCTACCGGTGTAGAAATGGAAGCATTAACAGCTGTTTCTGTTGCTGCATTAACAGTTTATGATATGCTAAAACCGTTACAAAGAGGACCAATTATTATTGAAAAAATTGAACTATTAGAAAAACTTGGTGGGTCGAAAGGTTCCTACTTAAAACTTGGTGCATCGAAGTAAAGAAAATAATTTAATTATTCAGCTTTGCTTAGAATTCGATTGTCTACAGTATTTTGCAGACTTTGATTTCTTTATTACGATATGTTGTCAAAATAGTTCAACTCTTAAGAGCATTTTCAAAGTTTGTCTCACAGACAATATAAATGGGAAACGACATCTGACTATAGATGAAGCACCATTAATTACGGTCTGTATTTAGACAACTAATTTAACTGAAAAATGGTTAAGTATCGAGTTCAATGTCTGAAAACAAATAGTGGCAAGTTTTTAACGGCTTCTTTTATGAATGATAGTGAGTTCTAAAGCAGATCTATGGAGTCTTGTCATGTACCATAGTTGAAGATAAATTTTTTAAGTTCATTAAATTTTAATGAGATGTACTGAGTTACCTTATACTCTTCTGGTTCCCAAGAGCAAAACTTGTTTCACAGTGGTATAAGTAGAATCAATGATCTAGTGGTGAGTGGACTCGTTATAGCATACGGTGCGCATACATTTATCAAACTGAGATCACTCGTAAAACATGTCATCTGAGACTACATGAATTTTGACTAATAATAGTACAACTTAGAAATAATGAGAATCACAGGATCAGGGTTCATCATTAAAAGAATAAATCATATAAGATATGTGGCACTGAAGCTTTTTATATAGATCAAAACACAGTAATATTTTAATAGAGAAAAAAAATTACCAATGTACTGAGAGATTATGTGACTGCTGAAATTTTCCATCTTAGAAGAATTATGTGAAGCAGAACTATCCAGACTCTAATAGCTAACTATTCTAATCATGTGTTTGTTGGAGACATCCGTTGTGTAAAAGCAGGTAAGCAGACGGAGACGATTAGAAGAGTTGTAACATTTTATCTGCACTTAAGAACAACTAAATATCAACTAAGTGACCAGAACATCGAACAACCATAACTGTTATTGTTAAAACAATAACTGATGCAGACCATTGATGGGGAGTTATTTCGAATTTAGAAGAACAAGAAAACCATCCAAACTCATTTTCTTAAATTATTCAGAAGACTGTTTCATCAATAAGCTTGCTTGGAGTTCCGCTACACATATCGTCGTACAGAAACTTGCGCCAAGCTTTATGTTGATAATACCTGTCTGTCTACACATACAGTAAGGTAAAAAGCAGAATAATCGGAGGTTGGAAAATGAAAACATTTGAGACAGACGCTTTTTGTTTTTATTACTGTTAAACTAAGAGGAAAAAAATGAATGTTGCACGATTCCCCCCAGTATGATTAATGGTGTATTACATTTCATAATGTGACATGCTTTGTTAGCATTCTAAATCAATGAGAGGAACAACTGCTCTTCGTCAAGCAAATAAAATATCCTTCTCAGATCACAAAATTGCAGAGCATCTCACTAAAATCTGAGAACCATATAGTAAATCGTTAATTTGCAAAATATCAATCCATCATCTCAGACTTGACTGTTCCTGTTGCAAACATCAATCCATTGTCTCAGGTTTCATTGCTCCTGCATTTTCATACCAACTGCGTTCCGTTGCCGTTCTTTCCTCATCGACATTCAACTGAAATACATTCTATGCCTGACCACCGTTATATACTACTTGTGTGGATATAAGTAACCCACACCACACTAGTCCCCCCTTTAAAGCATTCGTCCTGCCAGACCACTCCACTCGGCGTCGACTCTCCGCACCAAACTATCCCAACTAACACACCAATTTCAGGCCCACAACGGTGTCCGCAGAACAGTACCCTTTCCCTTCTGGTTGGCAGCGACATCAAATGTAGTGAACAAAACACCAGTGGGGACAATCGAATGTATTTGACAGAAAATTACAGAACTTCTTAATAAAATCTAACAGTCGTGTAGTAAATGCCTAATTTGCAAAGTGTCAATCAGTTGTCTCAAAACGACTCAGACTTCATTGTTCTTGCATTCTCATACAAACTGCATTCTGTTTCCATTCTTTACTGTCCGATCCTCTTGTCTGTCCGCTGCCAGACCTTCTGTTCACGACTAACTTCATATACTACTTATGTCGATATAAGTAACACACACCACACTCCAGTCAGTAACAACGTAGAACTTCGTACGTACGTACGTCAGTTCGAGTTACCATACCACACTAGCACACAAATGTAATTGTCGATTCAAATCCCGTAGCTGTATTGGTAGTTAAAATATAAGCAATAATCGGAATGATCAGGATTTGAAGATGTTATTCAAAGAGTGTAATCCAGTGAAATAAATTGGGAAATAGAAAAAAGGGACATGAAGAATTCAGATCAGGATTTGGGAGAACACAAAGAGTGGATTCACCTGCGCCATTGCAAACGATTTTGAGCCATGTCATCCAAGGTCTCTAACCATCGGTTGCTATTGTCTTTCGGATCCCAACCAGGTAGTCTACACCTACCAACATAACTCAGCCCACTTGTCAGTGACTTCATGGACTTGTGCCATGTTTTGGTCTGCCCCTCCCTAACGTTCTCCCAAACTTCCCTTACACTATAAAACACCGCTCGTTGGTGGTTGGGCATACGTAACACGTGTCCCAGCCATCTCAACTGATGAAGTTTCACTACTTCATCAATTGATTTGCCATCCTTACCTAGTACCCGTTTCCTAACAACCGTATTACTTACTCGGTGGTCCCAGGATGTATGGGCAATTCTTCGAAGACATCTATGATCGAATACTAGTAACCTACGAACATCCTCTACTCTTACCGGCCATGTTTCACAGCCATAAAGTATGACGGTACGAACTGCTGCGCAGTAAACACGTCCTTTGGTTGGTAGACGGATATCTCGCCTACACACCACACTACCATATAGATTTGTCAAAATACATATCTAACAAACAATCAAAAACAGGAATTAATTGTAAATTATCATACATTTATTTATTTTTCTATATGTAAATGTATATGAGAATAATTGTGAGAATGAAATTAGAATGTTTTATTACAAAGTAGTCTTGATCACACAAATACTTCAGTTGACTCTAATACACATTATATACAAATGGTTAGGAAATTAAAGTATTTCGTACACCACTATGCAGTTAACAATGATTGATTATAGAAAAGCTTATTTTGGTTTAACTCCGGAAAAAACTGTCGGAGAAGCATACCATCGTAGTTCAAATGGTGATTCATACAAAACTTTGTGTAATTCTTTAGGATTATAAGAATCTATAGAATCAGGAACAATTTTCAATACATGAACAGGACAAGTCCGAGGTAGACGAAATTGTAATCGAGGTAGAAACCATGAAGATGAAAAATCTTTTGATGTACATATATATATGTAAGTACGTGTAGGAGTAGAACACTTAAAAACATTATCAAAAAACGGAACCTGTACAAGAGATTCGAAAAATTCTCTGAAAGAAACATCTGTTTTATCGGCATTTGTAGTTTTAGGATAGAAATCACTGATATCTATGAGAAATGCTCGTTTTGGATTACTTGGTAGACCACCAATCATAATCAGGAAATAAAGAATAGATTCTGATTTCGATGATAACAGATTAGATTCAACCTCTTGAATTGATTGTAAAAGTTTTACTTCCTTTGAGTGTAAATTATCCTGCTCGTAGGTAGAAAATAATAATAGTCAGTAAGGGATTGTGAAGAATGTTGAATTTTATTTAAAGCATAAGCCGATGAATGTTAGACCATCAATAGAAATCTAGAAGCACTGGGAGGCCGTTTCGTCCCAGTACGGGACTCTTCAACAGTGCGCATTCACGACACAGCACGTGGGATTCGGAACCCAGGACCTTCGACTTCACCCACTAAAGATTAACCTCTCGACCACTGAGCCGGCATCCGACGGTGTTAATGTCTAATCTCAACGAATCCACAATATTGCGCGACCATCTTCCATTGCGTTGGCACACGCTAATTGGCTAATTCTTATCCAATCCGCGTGCGCCAACGCAAGCGTGCATTTAGCATGATTTAATCCTATCTATGTCCCGCTAACAGTCTTCAGTGGGTAACTGCCTAACACCCAACACGGTTGAACTCCACTGGTTACGGCTTCTCACTAGAACTCCGGAAATGGCCTATCAAAGTTAGTCACTAGTGTGTCCAGTGCTTCCAGGTTTTCAATAGTCGCCTAACATTGATCGATTCATGATTTCAACAAAATAATAGTAATTGATCAACGAAAAGTTAACGTACCAATTTTAATTCAATGTCTGATTTATTTTGAAGAGAATTTAAGAGTGATAAATCTGGAAATTGACCAGTAAAATATACAAACAGTTTCATTATTCTACAAATAAGGTTACACCGTTCATCAAATGAAAAATGATTAACTCCAACAGGTAAACAACAAAAGTCCATTTGTCGTTAATAGTAGGATTGAAACAAGTTATGTTCTAAATACATGATAAGCTAAAAAGCATTAAGAAAATAACGTATCACATAAAGTAAACTTTCAAAGAATGCGAACAAAAGATGTGTCTAGTAAACTATGAAGTTATTAAAACATGATCACTGCAATAGCTTTGAAAGCTTCTAAATGAATAGTGCAAACTACCAGTCCACTGTAGCTTTGCATACTAGATTATGAGCGACAAATAAGGTGAAGATCAGGTGTTATAAAGAGACGGGGATTTAAACCTATTAATGGATTTGGCCGACATTGGGGTGGCGCACATTCTTTTTTTCACCAACGTGATAAATCCGACACACGTCATTGAATACAGTAGCAAGACACTGCATAAGTCCGAGACTACTGTGTTAGTAGAAAATAAACGCCAGCCGTTGTATATTTTACAGAGAAATACAGACCATATCTTCTCTGTAGGCGTTTTTTTAGTACAGACTGGTTGCAAGGCACTTCGGTGACTAATGAAGTGGGAGACGGCACGCTGGCATGAGTATCTATGGGAATTCAACTTTGAATGGACTCACCGATCAGGACGCCACAGTGAAAATTTTGATTCATTGTTTGAGGGTGCTGTTAGACCACATGGAGATCGCCCTTAGTGAAATACACCTAAAATTTGTTATTTTTGGTTGGCGCGGCTGAGTAAAGCGGAATGAAGACACCTTTAGCTATAAGTGAAGAAACATAGTTATCATATCACGCCGTATGAAACCAGGGACCCACCAGCCCAACCTAATATTAAGGATAAAAGCTAGGAGGCACGGTGTTTCTGTGGGTTGTGAGGCCAACAAGTTTTAGTTGGTATTTCATTTATGCAGCCACAATCAACTTATGCACAGCGGTTCGTGGCACTACAATCCATGGTTACATTATTCCTAAAAAACGTTGGTGCAGATCTGAGACATGAACGAAGAAACAAGGTGGTTTAGGCAATAGTATTGATGGCCACGACAACAGCAGGACGTCCGAAATTACCCTGGAAGTCGTCAGGTTTGTGGTGGGGTAAAGAGCCCCAGATGAAACATATGGTACCACTGGTAAATATGAAAGCTGAATTCACCGACTAAGAGCTGGCAGTTGATATAATTGAACCACTATAGGAGACAATAGAAGGAAGTATACTCTACTAATGGTTAATTATTTTACAAAATAGGGCGGAACAGTTCCTGTGAGAAAGATTGATGCAGACGCGGTGGAAAAGGTATTGTTTGGTCAGTGAACAAAACGATGGGAAGCACCCAAACCTGCTTCGGTTTGGGCATCCGGGCAGTGTCCCAGCCCTCACACAAATCGAGTGATTTATGCGGGGGATATCTATTTGGTACCTCCTTTTGCCAATGTTTTCTTTTAAATAAATAAACAAAGGCACTCAGACAAGTGATTTAATTTTGAAAGCATGCTGATAAAAGTCACACCAGCTGTTCAAGATTGAGAGAAAGCGAACAGCCTATTATCCTGAAGGTAGGGGGTTGGTAGAGGTGACGAATATAATTTTTGGAGAATTATTTAGAACGTCCATTGTGACTGCTATGTTTAAAGGGATTATGAGTTCACCTAAACCTGCGGACAAAATGAAAACTTAGTTACATAATAACCAAATAAGCTAACTGTCCTGATGCACCCCAGCCCCGCTAACTAGAGAGACGCCTTGATTCAGAAGAGAGAAAATGCATTCCACAAGCAGGTAAAAGCACGAACAAGCACAGGCACAATTCAAGTGTATATAAAAAGCATAAAAGTTCCTAGGGAAACGTTACAAAATAGCACATTTAAGGTCCTCCCAAATGAGAAATACGACATGAAGGTGGTGGAGAAGGTGAAAATGGTCGCTTTTGGCACAAGAACAAGAAATTCAAATTTGCAAAATAAAATTACAAAAATAAGGCATTTAACAAAGACAGGCGTCATTTTGGAATACATTGCTACTACATTGTTTGTTGGTATGCAGTGGAAGCCCACATGAGTTTGTAGTACATGGAGAGTCCATCTAGGGCAGTTGGAAAACCCTGGTTCCAAACCAATGGTGGACATGGGCTCTAGTATCCTGAAGGAACAAATGGCGTATGAACCAATCGTTGGTCACCGGCTACCATGGGACTGCATCTCCTTACGATGCTCCACTGCCTTGTGGATCAGACCATGTTGAAGGCTCCGGGTGTGACCCCCTAAGAACACCACCTGCTTCGGTTTGGGTACCCGGGCAGTATCACAGCCCTCACACATCAAATGAGATCTGTGTGGCGCATATGTATTTGGTGCCTCCTTGTACCAATATCTGTGTTAAAATAAATAAATAAGTACATGCATTGCACTTGTGGATAGGAAGGAAAATATGCTTTCTCAGTGATGCAACTGTTGTAAGCTAATGGGTTGATCCGTTAACGATTTCTGAGATGGCAGTCAAATTAATAGGTGATATTGTAGGCTACCACGGCTGGGTCCGAGAGAATTCGAAGAAAACGCAATAACGATCGCAAGATTTGAAGTTCCCTTTTGGAAATTGGTAGTAAAGCAGATGGTTGTGGGTCAACCAGGAGGTAGGAAGAAAAATGAGTGAATTGGACCCTAGTTGATGAACCGTCAGGTTAAAGACAAGATCTATTAGATAACGGAAAGAACGCAAAACTCAAGGAATTTATTTGTTCGCTATAACTGATTGAAGAAGCGTATTCTACCCAGGAAAAGCTCTAATGATTGTAAAACCTCTATCTCTTCTGTTATTACAGGAATAAACGGAGTAAGAGGAGACGACGAAGTGTTTGGAAACAACCCTAGTTGGACGGGGAGATTACAGCAGTTTTGCATAGAAATTTTGGTGTGAACGTGGGGTAAATTAATGGAGTGCACAGGCAGAGTATAGTGTGTATATAAAGAACTACCTGGGTTTTTTCACACGAGTCGATGGTGTGTCACGTAGAAAACCCTTTGCAACGATAACTATAAACCTCAAGTTACTAACTTATTTGTATATGGGTATGACTGCACTATTTTGTCGTCAGAGAGTAACCTATCCTTGACTAAAGGACGTTTGATGTAACAAGAGGGAAGCTAAGTAAGTCTGCACATGATTCTAGGACTATGAATTGGGTTCAATCTGGACAAACAGATTTATGTTGATCTAGACATCTTAGAAACTTTATGATTTTGAGAGGCTCAAACAACACTATACTTAGACTAACATGGGAAAAGATTAGGGGATATAGCAAACCAGGAGTAATCGGATTGGAACTCTCTAGGCAGTTGTTCAACGACCCCATTATGGGAGCTATAGGCTGTCTAGAAATCTCTGTCTGGGAAATTGAATGTGTTGTGTGTCTTCATCTTCCTCTGCTTTATAAAGTTGAGCAAAATCTCGATTTCTTTCCATGGAAGTCATTAGACGAACCCGATGAGTTATTTTACCTCGTGTATGTTTTACACAATACCTTGTAGTATGAATAGTGTTGAAGTGATTCCAATTGTTTTAGACAGCTTAATTACTCCTGGTAAGTTTGTGAGTACTAGACTTCAGCCAGAAGGACGGCCGAACGGACGTGGTTTATGACTGACAGAGGAGCGTAAATCGACGAACAGAATGGCGTCCTTAAAAAGATTCCATCGCATGACTGCGTCCACGAAGCTATACGCTCCCGAGAAGGTAAGACTCTAATTTATGGACGAGCCAATCAGAAGCGTTTGAGGAATTTCAAGGTCACGGCGCTAAGTTCAATACGAGATGCCCACATTCGATAGTTTTACAGCAGATTTTAGAGAAGAGGTAATTTTTGAGCGACTACAACAGATGGGACTATTAAGAAATTCCTGCATCTGTGACTGCGGTAATCAAATGACTGCAGCACGATGTGCAGACTACCGTGATGACACTAGATTTCGTTGTACTATATGTTAGAAGATAAAATCTGCTCGAACTGGCACTTTCTTCGCTCGATCACGACTCAGACTAAGGCAAATCATGATAGTTGTTGAAAATTGGGTTATGAAGTCACCAGTAACACTGGCTGCGGCTTTTGCAGATGTTACAGTACGTGCAGCCTGGCAGTACGATATATACCGATGATAGGAAAGCGTATATATGCCTCCATAGACTTGGATTTGTGCACCCTAACCCTAACCTAAGCCCTAACCTTAACCCTAACCCCATGCACTATGATTTCAGGACATCTGAACCTTTATCTAACCTTAACAAGTTTTTAAATCATGTAAAAGAAGAATTCCCGCTGTATTTCTTAAGTTTTTTATAATGTTTTCACTTTATACTAACTCTCTTCTGATTGGCTAATAGTTTCAAGGTCACTTAAAAATTTGTTCAAAGGTCGTCCATAAAATATAGTTCTACCGCAGAATGATATGTGGGTCAGGTCGCTTTTCTTAACAGGGGTTTAAAAACAACACTTTGCAATCCCCAGTTTATATGGTGGGCGAATACGTACCCCAATGCTTCAGATTCAGTTTACGTAAAAACTTGAAATTTTGGGGAGTCCCCCAAGGTTTAAGAGTAATTTCGGGGTTTTGGTGCCACGTTCCTCAAATTTTCTATAGCGGCTTCCCCAAAATTGGGTAATTCAGTCGGGAGGAAAGGCCAGTCGGTTGTTAACAATGAGATTGAACGTTCTCAAAAAATATAAATCCCGGAATCAGTTCCTAACTTCAGAACACAATTTGGAAGTGCCGTCTAAGACAAAGAAGTTCGAAGTCGTCAATTGAGATTTGGTAAAAACTAACTTCTGTAACACTTCTGATTGCCCATCAAGAAATACTGACTACAAATAAGGCTGGATAAAACTTAAATAGAAAGAACAAGTACCCTAGAAAACATACTACGTACTAATAAAAGTTTTCCATACCTTCAAGTAAACCGAACGTGACACCAACTTCAAATCGTTGGCATTTTCAATATCCAATACCATAGGTACATTGTTACATTAAAAGTGATTTCCAGACAACAATGTTGTGTTAACATGAATGCTTTTGTGTAATAATTACTCATTGTGGCTGTATTGTGAGAACTTAGTGCCAAAACCATAGGACATTGTCTATGAGATGAAACTACCAGATTTTGCGGTTCACGTTCAGCTAGAACGTACGTTATGATGAAGATGCCAAAAGTATTCAGTGTTTGACAACACTTTAATCAGTAACACCTATTATGAAGCGTACCCACCAAGTGAAATCAAAAGACAGAAGCGAGGAGATTGGAAGATTTATTTGATAGACTATCAATATATCGAGAATCGTCTGATCTAATCTCACTGGCGATTGCAGGGGATGTTGAGGACGGCGTTCCCACTCGTGATCTGGTGTGGATGCATGACCGAGCGCCTTCAGCTAGGTGAGTCCATTAAAACATGTGGTCAGCATCCAGGTTCTATGTCTGCTGTGATGACCATACAACACAAACGAGGTTATTACGGAAATTTATTACCAAGACACGGAGTAGGGAAGGGAGTGAGGCTACCATCACATAGGTCGGTTCATGGCAAGCAACGAATTTCTCAGCTCTTGCCGTATGAATAATCCAAAACGAGTTTAAGACCGCAGAAGCATTATAGTCCAGACTAACGGTAAGTTTCTGGAATATTGTCTTCATCGTTTGACAATAAAAGTCGAAAATTTGAAGTTAGGCAAGCAATGGCTGAAATAAAAGGTACTGGGAGATAGCCCATAGTTCGAAATGGAGTAAAATGTCGAATGAAGAAACAAGACGGAGAATTAGATATAGATAACTGTGCAGTCTTTGCTTACATTGCCAGCCAGTATGTGTCTGGGTCGATTATGGGTCATATTTTCTGGTGGCTGATGCTTTAACAAGTCTATTTCACTGAAGCATTTAAATGCTATCAAGGATTGTTTATGAACCTTAAAATGGTACAAGTGTTAGGAGTTTGACAACACCATAACCAGGAACATATGTTATGATCGAAATGTGAGAACCCGGTGAAATCTGAAATCAAACACGAAGAGGTTCGAAGATATATTTGATAGTCCATCGATATATCGAGAAGTGATCAAAGCTGGCTTGTGGTTGTAGGAGATGTTTAGCACGGCGTACCCATTCGTAGTCTTGTGAGGATGCATGATCGAGGGTCTTCAGCCGGGTGAGTCCAGTAAAACTGATGCGATCAGCATCAAATGTTAAAGGTTTACAGAGCAATTGATTTTTAGGATTTATTCACGCTAAAGATCAGTCTCTCCTAGTGGGGTCGTGATGATCCAAGAAGTGTCCAGTCAGAGGTTTGTCAGTAGTAAACACTCTTCTGATAGCTGCTAGATTCAGCATTGTGTGGACGTCCTCCTTTACCATAAGGGGCTATGCAGCACAATATAGCAATGAGAGACAGGTACAATGAAACGTCCGATTCACCGTAAACTTCGTCGTTTTTCCACTTTTTACAGATGTCCTGGAAAAGAAAAAACGGTACGTAAGTTCATGTCTACTCCTATGATAGTTATATCAACATCGTTCATAGCTGGGCTGCTAAAGTATCAACTACAGGGTCAGTTTTTATTACAAGGGCAGGCATGTGCCAATTACTTACCATACTTAAGTCTAATAAGCCACGGGGCCCTGAGAACTTACACCCTAGTTCACTACCACCCGTCTTAAACATTTTGAAATCATTCACAGTAGTGTTCAGCATGTCCCTTTCCCAAACTCCTCCTAGGGATTGGAAGAATGGTATTGTTAGTCTTATATTTAAGTACTGTAAAATACTAATCTTGTCTAATCACGGATTCGATGGTCTAACTAGCATAGCGGTTCAGATATTTTCAACGCAATATTGGGACAAGTAACCAGATCATATGGAGTCATATAATCTGTTAACTTCTAGGTAACTCGGCTTTTGGAGCACACATTCACGTCTGACTAACTTAGGGATTGAAAAAGAGGGTTGGACAGCAGCCTGAGATAGCAGATTGGCTATCGATGTAATGTTCACAGATTATGCCATGGCATTTGATAAGGTGTTTTATTTAGTACTTATTCAAAAGCCTTCCAACTTCTAAGTAACAGTAACACGTGTGAGTGGGTAAGAAACTTCACCTGTTACCGGGGACAGAGAAGGAAAATAAAAGAGACACTTTGTTGGTGATGACCAGTTTAGAGTGTTGTGCGTCAAGTCACTATCTTGGGCATCCTATTTCTTCTTCATAACGTCAATGAATTACCAAGACCACCTAATTTGCTGACACTCGTTTAGAGATGTTAAAGTCTGAAAAAGAAATACGTAGTAAGGCTGACAAATGTTATCCTCAGATTGATTCAGACAACTCGGTTGAGTGGTCCTGAATTTATGATTTGGAGATTAATTATAGCCGCTAATTTATTATTGCCGTGTCCAGTATACCATCAGTAGTACACTGCTTCCACAGGTATACGCAAAAAGGACCTAAGCTTTCTAGAGTCATGACTGAAAAACAACTAGGCATTGCAGTTTAGCAGGTGTCAAGGGCTTTGGATAGTTAAGGGTCACTTCGCTGAGCTTTTAAATGCTCGACCAAGACATGTTTACAACTTTATACCTCACTTAGCATATTGCGTTTAAACGGCTATCCCGCGTCTTATTAAAGATACTAAATTCTTATACGATTAGTGATTAAAGCACGAAAATGAAGGATAGTGACGTGGATATTAAGGGATTGATAAAGCCTTTACACGTAACACCTATATAATCGAAGGATACTAACCCATTCAAATCAGCAGTTAGGGATGAATGAGTTCGAAGATATATTTGGTAAGGTTGTCGATGTGCTGATAGGCGTTTTATATAAGCTGGCCAGTAGTCGCATGGGATGCGTGGCATACCCACTCATGATCTGGTGCAGATGTGTGACCGAGAACATTCACCCGGAGTGTGTCCAGTAAAACTAATGAGGCCAGTATCAGTAACTAGGACATACAGGACTATTTATGTTGGAGACTTATTTACCGCTACAAATGCTTGCACTCTGTCCCCTTATCCTATCGTAGAACACTAAGTGACCTGATATTGGTATTTCGTGTCTTAAATACCGATGAGTGTCAATATATCTTGTCATGTTTCTCTATCAGAAGCTAATCATCTTCGAAACCCTCACAAGAAGGTTCAAAAACCACCATCACATAAGCTCAGAGTGGGATACTGCCTTTTTCGAGCCGCCAACGACTAAAATGTCTCATTCAAACAATTGTTATCAGTCAAAGCAGTAAGCACTTTCAATAAGGAGTCAAGTTCTTCCCGGAAATCAAGCTACAAGCATTAAAAAAAGTCAATTTACATGCAATCCTAACTACCTAAGATTGAGGCTGTGAAGGTCAACTCAGGACTACCATTTAAAAACTTAAGGGTGCGGCGTATTTCATTGTCCTGCGGTAGTTAACTTGTCTCTATATCAAATCAACTAGTTATTTTACTCCTCCATACTCTCTTGATTTGTTTCACATAATCATTCAGCTAAAATTTTCTTTTTTGAGTACAAACTGATGTTCTGCTGACTAATTAATATTTTTACTTCATATGAAGTGAAAATGAAGACTGCAGTCTTCATTTGTCGACAAGTCTTAATTTACTCAAAGAATTCAGCGTCCTGCATGGTCAACAGACTTATTACTTAGACCATGCTTATTGGTTTTTTAGGTGTCAGATGATTATCTAACACCTAGGGGCTTTAAAATCCCAACAAGACACTAAATGTACTATGTACTTATGAAAGTGTTTACAAACTAATCAAGTATTCCTTTTTAAATACAGATTACTGCTCTGTCCACTTACGTCTTGCTGGTTACAACCGGTCCTTACTGGATTTCAGCGACCCACTTTATCAGGGTGGCTGCATAGTACTCTTGGTGAATGGCGAAAGGTCGTCTTTCTGGCTCTGACTCGTCGGACAGTGATGACGAAGTGAAGGTAAGTACTTGAGCAATCCGAAATATGAAACTTTACGGTATTTAAACTAATGCGTATCCAAATGTTTTTTTCCAGTGGCTACAATCACGTCACAAGCACAGGAAGACCTCGGTTCCAAGCGATGAGACAACACGTGATTCAAAGTCAGGTGGAATTGAGGAGGGTGAAGTATCTAGTGATGACCTCGATGAAGACGAAGATGATGGCCTGGATGACAACTTAATCGGTGGGGAAGATGATAAGCGTCGGTTGGCGAAAATGAGTGAAAAAGAAAGAGAAGAAGAGCTATTCAAGAGAGCTGAGAGAAGAGATGCCATACGAGCCCGCAAGGCTGTAAAACAAAAGCTAAAAGAAAGACGAGAAAGAGAAAAAGCTCAACAGGTAGCCTCTTTATCCAAGCAGCTTACCGGGGATTCAAAATCTAAAAGATCTGCTTATCACAACGTATTTTCAGACAGCGATGAGGCAGAAAATAGTGATTCAAGTGGTCTTGGACCAAAAGGCCTTAGACAACGTAAGCTTGCCCTGGAGAAAAAGAAGGTATGTTTTTCTGTTTGCTAAACCTGATTTCAAACCGCTCGCTTTTGCTTTGTTGCACAATTTGTCTTGATAGGTTACTAGTTATCAATACATTTTATTATCTTTTTTTCTTGTAAAACTGTGATCATTGGGAAATTCTTTTTTAGGTGGCTCACAGGGATAAATTTCAGGAACTCATCGAGCGTCGCAAACAACAGGCTGCTAAAAAGCGTCGAACTCATACATCAGACGAAGTGGATATATCCGCCCAAAATAGTTCTGGGAGTTCATCAGATAGTGATGATAATAGTCCAAAGCCACGTGGCAAAATTCAGGAGAAACATCAGTCCATGTCTCAGCGTGTTTTTTCCTCAGAAGCATCAGACTCTTCTGATTCAAGTCGACCTGGTTCGCGTCCTGTAGCTCGACGTTCAAGGTTGGTTGTCAAATAGTTTGTAACCTAAATTCCGTTTTGTATGATCTCGGTATTATTTATACTAAGTTCTCTCTCTTAATCCCACTTCACCTAGTTAATATAACATCTTAAATCAAATAATTAAGTAATACCGTCCTTAAGAACTTACGCACTTTCCATTTCCACCCCATTTGGAGTTAAAAAGTAATAATATCATAGCCTTGCTCAGGGATCCGTACTACGATGATTCATGGCATATCCTGGTAAAAATGAGTTGAATGGAACTTTGAACCCATGAATCTGATGTAAGCCTGAGTTTATCTTCTTGGGAGTTGTGAATTTGTTAGAATCTTTCGCTGTTTAGTTTTCCTTAGATTGAAAGTAGTTCAGCGAAGAAAATTTTCTTTCCTACGGTGTCATTTTCTGAAACTATGCAATCGTATTTATACCGATTTCTCGGATAAAGTAGTCTGTTGAAAGGTGGAGGGACTACACAATAGCATTTAGGTAACTTCATGTGTTGAAAGAGGACCACGTGATGAACAAGAAGTCGAAAAACGACAGTCTAAAACCGAATAGATGAAAGATAGTTGCCCACTTGACAAGGATGACGTGAAAGTGAAAATAGTAATTAAAATTTCAGGTGGTTTGGGGTAGTCTGTCGGAAACTCGGGGCTCAGGTTTCATGATACTTGGAACCCGTCAGTAACTTGTACCTGTAATCTTGCCAAAACTGGCTGATTCGATCTTTGTCATTTAGCTTCACAGCCTGGGGTGTTTCTACTGAGCTGTTCGGGGCTGCAATGTTGTGTCACTTAGACTAGTTTCCATATTGTAACCTGATGGATAGAATTAAATCAGCACTAAAAGAGGATTAGACAAACATGACACTGGTAGCTACTCAGTGATCAGTCAGTCGTAAGTTACTAAAAACTTTAAAAAAACTCGGAAGACAGTACTAACAAATAATCTACCGAGTATGGAAAATTGAGTATTAGTACCACGGTAGGATGAGAGCTTGGAAGTGTCACTTCTGTTCACATGGTTTTAATTTGAAACGATGATTTGCTAACACCCTGCAATGTATAGGTAATTGATCTATCTCTCCTTCGAACCCTATCGTTTAAACATATAGATACTTGTAAAAACCATCTGGTGCGGTTATGTAACAGGAATCTACAAGATGTTCCGGTATTGCGCTGTTGATTGTTTACCTTCTTTGGAAAGCCACGTGGTAATCCTCGGATATGAGTTTAGAGAACGTTCACTCTGTGCAGTCACTGTAACCTGTTCCATAAGAACAAGGGGACTTATAAATGTGCATTTGTGTATCCCAAGGTGAAAGTTTATTTTCGACACATCCACGAAATACAGTCGATACAAACTCGGCTCATTTGGCTTTGTTGATTTAGTTACAGACTTCAATGTAACTTCAAAGAGAATCTCCGACCTGACGTAGTAGTCAGGCTTGCCTATCGTGATGACTTAACCGAGCTGTATTGGCTGGAACACGTTCCCTTAGGTCTTACTATGTCAGACAGATCGGTTGAAGAGCGGTAAGACTAAAAGCAGCAACTTAAGGTCCTAAGACGAAGTCGTACTGCTGACTGTAGAGAGGCGTGACAGCAGTAAGGTGTTTCCCGAAGAGAACCAGCATCTGTAGCGATGTCGCCTTATCACGAAGGGAGGAAGGGGTCAGAAAAGGTCGACCCTGGTAATGCCACACCACCTTACCTCATAGATCGGCGGTAAAGCCTCAAGTGCGGAGCTAATACGACGAAAGCTTCCCATAAAGATACCGTACGCTATCGACGTCAAGCATTTATGCCTTAGTCTCTGCGATCGCACTCCCAGGTCGCACAAACCATTACTAGTTCAGCTTCTTTTTCAGGTCTCTAGAAGAAATATCTACGATGTGGGTGACCGTGAAGTGACAACCGCCCTCATACCTCTATCGGCAGTCGAGATCCTATTGTTGACTTTAAAATCCAGCCCTCATCTCTAAATAATTCTTCCGTCTATACGACTAACCCTTCTCGTATATCTTTATCACTACACGCCACCAATGAGTTTACGAAATGTTATTCCTGGTCACCTGAAACCACTCTCGGAACTACATGTTGGAGCTTTTATTGTTCGAACCTTGTATCAGATAAGACAATAAGCTTTAGCCAGGACTCTAGAATCTCTTGGTATGATTTTCAAAAAGCTGTGAAAACAGCAGTGATATCTACCGGTAGCTTAAAGCAAAAGGTTAAGAGAAAGCAGTGGGTTTCAGCGGCGTCTAAATAATTGATAGGTGCTCGAAAACATCACGTCTGGGTCCGAACACGATGAGGAGCAGAGGCAACTTAAACACGGGCTGATCAAAAGCCTATATAATGAGCGTAAGTAGTTGTAGGTAGCGGAAGCAGAAGAGATAGAAAAGGCATCAGCGATAGGTCGAAATAGACAGTTGTTCACATTTATTAAGGAAACAGGTATTAAAAATCCGGCTGTTAGTGAAAAGGACCAAACTATTATTTACTCTCAATCTAGAAGATTGCCCTACTGGACAGAACACTTTAGTGAACAGTTCAGCTGGTTTTCAATCACACATCAGTTGCCAAATATCTCCAAGCAACCTGAATGCCAACTTGACGCAACTCATCCAGCCCTTAGTGAATTTGAAAAGGCTATAAACAATCTAAAGAAAAGGAGAGCAGGCGAACCTGACGAACTGGCCACTAATTTTTCAAAATGGTAGTCCAGGTTTAGCAGTTAGATTAATTAGAGTCTTAGCTAAAGTGGACGCAATCTCATCTAACTGGACTTGATCTCTGATTTTCCTAGTTTATAAGAACGGACATAACTCCTCTTGTCACAATCACAGAGGAATCATTCCAACTAATATAGTGTCTAAAATATTAGTCTCAATAATATTTCGACGTCTAACTAGAACTTGTGAAGGGTGAATTCGAGAAAACTAGACCGGTTTCAGTCCTGCACGTGGATGTGTAGACCGAATACTCACCATTCGGTAGGTTCTGGAACATAAACATACTTTTCGACGTCCGACCATAGTTGTATTCTTTGACCTTAAGATGGTGTTCGACTCTCGATTGTGAGGTTTTATGGTAATGTCTCATTGAAAGGCGTACTAAAGGATTACATTAATCTTAACAGCCTCTCCACTCAAACACTACCGGTCGAGTCAGAAGTTATGATGAACTGTCGTCGTAATTGGTTACTTCAAATGGTGTTTGTCAGGGTTATTTGCTTTCTCCATTTAACTTTCTCATAGACATGTTTTCAGAGATAACACTTTCACCGTTCAACATACCAGGGATCAGTCTTCTACCAGGAAATTCCCTTGCTGGTTTAAAATAAGCAGATGATATTGTTATGTTTAGTGAAAATGTAGAGTCTTCTGGCCACCTTGAGCAACAGTGCAAACATGTTTGGGATGCGGTTCTCCCTCGTCAAATGCAAAATTTAGCTTCAGGATTGGCTTGCGCCAGCGCCTATATCAATAATTGGATGTGAAGTAATCGAGCTTATCGATCGCTTCACTTATCTTATGAGTCTTATCAGTCCTGATGGTTTGGTGTCTGACAAAATCTCCGCATGGATTCAGAAGGCTCGACTTGCTTTTTCCAACTAACGTCACTTATAGCGTAGGCGTGACATCTGTTTGTCATGTAAATGACGAGTTTACTGCACTGCAGTTTGGGGGGTACTGAATAAAGTGCTGTGGAAGGGTTAAATAAAAGTAATATTAAGTGCTATTAAGTACTATTAAGCGTATATAAGATTCAGGTGGCAGTATATTGGGGGCTTCTAATTACTTTTATTTGATAACTATTTCTTGAACAAACATTTTCATTGTTCATTTCACTCAACTTTATTCAGAGTATTCTAGTCGTTGAGGCATGCCTATTTTCTCTTAAATTGTTTCGGTGGGACTCTAAAACTATGATTTCTTTTTTGTTTTTAGTTTTTCCAGTTTGTCAGGTTCACAGCGATCTGGTTCTTCAAGTGAAGATGACGCTAGAGGCAGAAGTCGTTCACCTGAAGAGGAACTAGTCTCCTCTGTTGAGCATCTATCTCGTATTCGGTTGTCACGTTTTAAAATGGAAAAGTGGGTTCACATGCCGTTTTTCGATGTGAGTTTCTCCACATCCTACATGTGTTATCACGTATGGTAAGATGTTACTGAATTTATTATGGGTATCATAAGATTCAAGGTATGACATACTACATTTATCTTAAAATAATTTTAAAGTGAAAACTTAGTCAAACAAGCTTTGAAAAGTAAACAGTTTCATCTTTTATGTAGTGCATTGTTAATAACCTTCTCTAAATCTTGTGAATGTGTAAAAGACAAAATATTTTGAGTATGGTTTGTGTATTTTTTTTAGATTGACGTCATTATTATTTCGTTACTCAGTTTAGTGGGATGTGTGAAATTAACCAACTAATATTTCCAGTGTGTGTTTTTTATAGACAGCCTACTTGTTATACTGGTTTCTTCGATCAGTGTTATGAACTCTCTTATTGCAACCCAGCTACTGTTATTAGTTAGTATTCTTGGAAACTACTTGACTCGACAAGTTCCTTAATTAGAGCGTAGTTGAAGAGGAACGTAATTATATTCCAAATAAACAGATGTAAATGAAAGTAGGGATCGCTATAAGAAAAATGTTAGTATATTTATTGTTTTTATGCGAAAAGATTCAAGAGTCTTCTCCAAGTACCTGTTAGCGCTGATTGGCTAAGAAATAGCCAATCGTAGGATTCGGTGTAGGATCTGGTGTTAGGGTCCACCTACGACCGCGTGACTGATCTGTGCTTTCGATTCGTCCATTTCCTAGGTAGTGAAGAAGTGTTATCACCCCTGCTAACAATCATTAAAGTTCGTTCAATTCTAATTGTCATCTGTTGACTGTATATTTAATAACAATATTTTTAGGGGAATTATTATTAAACTACGGTTAGAATTTGTAGCACTTAAAAATATATGTTTATTTGGTTGGCCATAATTTGTAAGCCTTGCTAGAATTAGTCTTCACACATGTAACCGTAAATGACTGTCACTTATTTTTTTATTTTTCTTCCTCAGAACTTGATAAAAGGATGTTTTGTACGTATCAATATAGGATTACATCAAGGTGTGCCGATTTATCGTTGTGCTGAAATTGTGGATGTCGTGGAAACTCCTAAAATATACGATCTTGGTGACACTCGGTACATAAATTTTCAAGTGTTTTCTGGTTATATATATGTAAACTTATTAACTGATTGTAGTTACTGATTTTCATACATTCACAGTCTTCTTTCTACATATGCTTCTTTATTACTCCTTTTGTGTCTGGAATAAGTTAAGTGTATGTAATGTATTGAAGATCAAGAAATAAAAAGGAACTGTCAAAAGTGAAAGAATTATACTGCATTCAAGATGTAGTGAAAGATAAGTAATGAATATATCCTCATCACTACATATGATTTTTTATTGTTACTTGAGGTGTCCAATAATTAATTGAAATTATGTACTAAGCTCCAACTAGTAATCGTGTACTTTGATCTCGGCAACCGGGTAATATTGTAGTGAACGAAGTACTCAGGTGGGGAAGACCAATTTATTGTTTAGTGCAAAATTACAGAGTTCCTTCGTAAAGATATGAAAACTGTACATTAAATACATTATTTACACATCTTCCTTCAGTTGTTTTTTACATGCTTCATGATTCTTTTAGTTCTGTTTTTATTACAATTGCTCTTTGTCTACATTTCTGTCCTCTTCAATTCGATCTTCTCAATCTTCTGCTACCAGGTATTCCACTTCTGGTTAGTGCTACATACTACTTATATCTGTCAACATAAGTAGCATACACCACAATATTATTAGTCCTTACATTTATTGTTTCTCACATTCAAGTCCCTTATGAATGAGTCAGTTGTTTTTCTTCGAAGATACTTCGGAAATACACATAATTACATCTGATAGCAACATCTCGCACAAAACACAGAGTAGACTATATATATCGGATTTATGTTCACACGTTAATATTTCGCTTCATACACGCTTTTAAAATTGAATTTTCATTCAGAAAGATGTTTTTTGCTTGATCTATAATCGCCACACTATATATATTTATCAAACGTCCTGCTTTTTGTAGAACTAATAAAGGAATTGTAGTTCGTGTTGGAAAAGACCAAAGTACATTTCGTTTGGCGTTCATTTCAAACTCTGATTTTCAGCAAGATGAATTCGACAGCTGGATGCGGCGAATACATCTTGCGAACATGAAACCTCCGACTTTGAATTTTGTCCGAGATAAAGCTGCTGAAATTACTGAAGCAATAAATCGTCCTATTCGAGATGAACGGGTGGTTGAACAGGTTTGTTTCACATCTGCCTGTATTAATTTTATTATGATATGATTAACGAATTATTTTATTGCGTGAAATATACATATACGCGTTAGATATTCAACAAAGATTTTTGTTATTTTGCTTGTTTTTTGTCACCTAGTCTCACTATTATTAATGGTCTCGTCCTATATCAGTGGCAAGAAGTATAAACGTGTACTCACTTTAAGGTACTCTTGATACTATCTATCGGTATTCTGGTTAACCGAAAAGTGACTCGTATGATACTTCGCTATTAAGTATTTGCCTAATTCTGTCGATCAAAATTTAATAAGGCCAACTAGTCACAAAACATCAGTTGTCACTGTGTTTATTTGTCTGATATCTCAAGATCTTTTATTAGCAGTTATGTAGTTTTCTTTTCGGTAAAGTGTGCTTTCGATCTTGTGAAAAGTTATTATCTTCTCGAGGTTTGGAGATACTGTCATTTCTACTAGATTCTTATCAAAATCTACATTTGAATATATTATTATTTAATTTACATAGTAGCTGCAAACTGTTTAATTGTAATCAGTCACAATTAACTTATAACCTAATAAGAATATGCATTAGCCCAAGTCCTCATACTACGTTAATATGGCCATTTAGTCAGTCAGTGACCATGTAGAACCTGGTACGTGTGTACATCGGTTCAAGTTGCCATACCCCATTAACACAGAGATGAAATTGTCAGACTGAATCCCAGATTAGTAGATGCATTAACGGTATGAGTGGTGATTGGAAAGATTAAGCATCGAAGATATGATTCAAGGACAAATAAATCAATGAAATAAAAACAGAAGTGTTATGAGGAATTCAGAAGCTCGGAGTTTGGTTGAAGACGAAGGATAGATGCATCTGCGCCATTGCAGACGATTTTGAGTCATGTCATTCAAATTCTCAAACCATTGGTTACGATAATCACCCGGACCTCAGCCAGATAGTCTACGCCTATTAACATTACTCAATCCAATTGTCAGTGACTGCGTTTAGTCGTGAGCTGATGAGAAGAGGTTAACAAGATATGTAACGTCGAAATCTAAATCATAATCGTATTAATGCTAGTGAAAAAGGATAAACATTAGACAATACAATTCAAAAAGAAAACAAAGAGAAATAAAAAGTATGATGTAGTACTGAAGTTCAAAACTTAGGATAAGGTAAACAGTAAATACGTGTACGCCGCTGTGTTTGATTATTAACTTTTTCATCCATTGTATCCAACCATGAATCACAGTTATCGTGGGCATCCCATCAGATACTTTAATGTTTATTCTAGATTCAAATTGAATCGATCAACGTTCAAGTGAATTGGCTAAAAGGTAGAAGCATAAATAAGATATGATGCAAATTAGTAAAATACCAAAAGCGAAACAAAAGACAAACTTAGACCTAGCGAATACATATTTTGTATTCATCAGTTTTAAGTCGAGATGGATGGTAGGTAGCAATGAAGTCCGGAATGCATGTTTTGTCTTATTTGGGACTGGCAATCTGGATGTAACTGCGTCCCAGAGTCGATGTTCATCCCGCTACTCGATCCCAGTACCGTTCGCTCGAAGCGTCATCGCATTATCCTCTTATCTTCTGAGTTCACATAATAAATGCGCGAAGTTTATTTCATCTTGTATTCGTTGTTTGGATGTTCCGATTGACGTTTAGAGCTGTCTCTTTGGCATATGCGGACCCTGTACGAAGCAAACGACACTGGGTTCGAGTCCCGGAGTAGATATGAACTCTGCGATGCAGGTATGTCCAGTTGATCAGTCTCAAACAGGAGGAAACACGCGTCATGGATTCCACTGCTAGCCACCATCCATTTCGGCTTAAAATATTTGTGACTTGAAGCAATATGGAGGCAATCCGCACAGGGTGCACATGTCTCAATAACGTTTTAATCAATTACAATACAAAACATCAATGAGAAGATTCGAATAACGAATACATATGAAATAAATATTCATCACTTTAAAACTGTTATATATGAACCTTAAATGTTCCTACTGGGAAGTTTATTTTCAAGTTTTACACTTTTTCGATAACTAGTAGTAGTGATTTTAAGCTTCATAACTTCAGTGATCATTACTTTTTTGACCATATATGATGTACATATCTATCGAGTTCTGGTTTTACAATTGAGTGTTTTGTTTACCCATATATATGCATAGATTCTCAGCGTACTAAAATTTCAGCTAGGTTCATAGCTGCAAGCTGATCAATAATAGTTGAACAAAGGGCAGGTAAAAAACGTCTATATGTAAAATTACTTATGGTGGTCAAGAATTAAACTTGAAAGTGAGATCCTAATTTGTCGGCTAGTTAATGATTAACGCGACTATTATTTTCTAATCGCCAGTGAATTCTAATAATTTTTCTCACTAATTATATGCACTAGGGAGAAGAAAAGTCTTTCTTATGGCTAGTGATCCTTTATTTAATATCAATCTACCAATCGGTCACATCATATCATTGCCATTTTATCTACCAAGCAGAATTCTGTTTATTTTAATTGTTCTCATAGTATGAATTATTCTTCAAACTATAAACCTTAACAGCTAATAATGATGAAATAAATAACAATGTTAATTCAAAAAGTCTACATTCGACTAATGAGTAATTTATTGGCTGTAATATTTTACTACCTATGTTTAAAGTAGGTGTTACCTTTCACTTTTTGTAGTGACACATTGATAATTTTTTATGGTCTTTTTTTACTTCATAGATCATACAATCCAAACGTCGTTTTCAGAAAGCTCCAACAAATTTTGCTTTACGCAAAGCGGAATTGATCAAACAACGAGAGCAAGCAGAAACAGATGGAGATACAGAATTATTGAAACATTTAGATAGTGAAATAGAAGAAATCGAATCTCAAGCTGAACGAATTGAGAGACGTCGAACTTTAGGTTTTAAATCAATTACATCTATAAATCAACGTAATCGTGCACTTAGTGTACAACAAGCTGAAGAAGCTATTCGTAAAGAAAGTGAAGAAGCATTGAATTCCAAGGAAGAAGATCCATTTACACGTGTTCATTCTCAACCGGTAATTGTCACAAAGAAATATTTGGAAAACTTACGTCATAAAAGAGTAAGAATTGTATGAATTAAGTTTTTTGGGTGCTAATGTTTTAATATTGAAGCTATCCTGGATCTGTTCATATGTTTTTTTTTAAGAAAATTTCTGTGAGTACAGCGCATTTCATCTAACATTATGTCTAATTTAGTACGTTATTCATCTAACAATTACATTCTCTTATCTCTTAATTGTTCGATTCATGAATAACTATTATGTAATCAAGCAACAGAATATTAATGGTTTTCATTTGTTGAAAAAGAGTAACATGTATGGTTTTTGTGTAACATTTAAAGGAAGAATTATTTTCAAATAGTGAAAAAAATTTGGTAACGTTTTTTCATGGTTTATCTATGTGTTTTAAATTATGGAAATAGTTTTAAGGAAACTAAAATGTATTTTATTATTCAATTATTTAACGACAGTATGTAATGTATTCAACAAGCTTAACTATCAAAAGATATCTGAATAATTGTAACTTGCTATTTCATGTTACTTATATCAAGGTTTCCATTCACTGAATGATGATCAAGGTTAAAAGAGTATCCAGGTTCTTAATATTTCAAACAAATGGCTTCTCAATCACTGATACTTGTACAACAAACAGTGTCAAAGTTGGTAGTGACTTTTACTTTTGATCAACTATATTAGAAAAAAACATAAATTCATTAATCTTGTAATTTATTAAAGATATCAATTGACCATATATAGGTTAAGCATTTTTCGGTATCTCAGAAATTTAACACAAAAATAAAGGTCATCTTTTAATAATAATAATAATAATAATAATAATAATAATAATAATAATAATAATAATAATAATAATAATAATGGATCAATTTATCTACAAGATATTAAAAAAGTCAACAGTTTAGATTTATTAGAATATCTCAAATTACTTTGAACTCTCTTCTTCTTCTTCCTCTCCTTCTTCTTCTTCTTCTTCTTCTTCTTCTTCTTCTTCTTCTTCTTCTTCTTCTTCTTCTTCTTCTTCTTCTTCTCTTCTTCTCCTGTATGTTAAAAATATCTCATGTCTTTTTGTGAATGATTTTTTGTTTTTATCTGACTAGCTTTATCATTTTTATAATAATAAAGTGGTTTTACAAGTTGCATCGCTATACAATGATTCTAGTTTATTTATTTTTAGATAATCAGTTATACTGAAATCTGGGGTTTCATGTTTGCTTTGAGTGTGCATGTTTGGAAAGATAATTTCAATAAAATGTTTTTTTTTTAAAATTAATAAATACTGTTATGTTATTGATAGAATAACAGTGAAAGCTTCTACTTATATCTCAACGTATGCAAATTGATGTTTGGTTTAGCCATTTTTTAATTAGAAAGATTATGAACTGTAGTTTATGAAACTTGGTAGACTTTTATGAGATCGCTTGCTTCTTTGAATATGAATTACATAGACACTAGATAATATGTTCTGATTACTTGGAGCAAATTATATTTAAGTATAAATATGATCTGTAAAGTGAATAATAATGCCTGATACCATATGCTCAGGATTCAAACGGAACTGGATAAATGTAGTGTATTTTTAGCTTAGTTATCAAATGATTCGTGTTCAATCGCGGATTATTGTCACTCCAGTCCTTCTAATCTATGTGAAGAAATCTACACTTCCTTCGTTTCGCTTAGACAAACAGTTAACAGGTTTTTGTATAAGTTTCGTTTCTTCAATTTCATCCACATTATTCTCATTGTAGCGGGTCAGTCTTAGTTGTGGTAGAGAAGATTCCTGATAATTTCTATGAATTAACAAAACTTCAGTCAAATCACGTTTTTTAACTACTAGTTCACTTTTTCTTTGTATTTAATGTATATTTTTAAACATCAATTTAAGGATTACGAATAAACATTTTGTGAATTTATACTAGTAAAAGTTGCCTAATGACTACTGTTTGGTTAATTTCATTACAGCTTGGAGTAGTAGCTCAATCAAATACTTCCTGTGATTTGAATCAAAGTTTTCCTCCACCACCAACTCCTGATTCAGAGCTAAGCATGTCATCTAAACATTCACTGTTGAATACACCAATGGGAAGTAATAGTATAATAACTGAAGCACCTGACTCAGTATGTTGGTCATTGGGAGATGATAATAGCAACTTATCCACACCGCATGATTCTCTTCATGCAATACATAATTTTGAAATAAATATTGATTTGGATTTGGATGGGAATAATGATCAGGCGAATTCCAACGGACGCACAGGATCAACTAATACTGATGTACGACATTCAACTAGTCCTAGATCACGTGGTACTACAAATTCTACTCATGATTTTACCAATGGCAGTCCCCAGACACCAATGAACGGTCCATTTGGAAAACCAAATCGTCGATTGTTAAATTTACAAGAGTACAAGAAACGTCATGGATTAATTTAATTCCTAGTTGATATGCAAATATTGGTATTTTCCTTATTCAAACATACTATCATTTATTGCTATTTTTTTCTATATGTGTATGATTAGTAGTCTTATCACACCGGTCGTTTAACTTTATATTTGCATGTGTATGTATGTGTTGTATATAGACGTCTGTAAGCCCTTCCTTTATGCTTTACACCTTTTTTTGTGAAATGTACATAAGAGGAAAAAATTAATCGTAATCATCTCTTTATCAGTTTGCCTCTTACATGAATAGATTTTGTAATAGCACTTGTAATTCGTCAGAGGGGTTCATGATCTCTGTTCATAGGTTCAAGGAGACGTGTATATTATATGTATCGGATGTTGTCTTACCTTACGGGATATGTATCAACTAGTTGCGCTAGTTTAGAACCGAACACACTATTCTTTACCAATAGGTTGGAACATGCTACGAAATGTTTTACGTATCCATCAATTCGTGATAATTGTTTTGCTGTGTGGTTGAAATCGACATATGTTTTATATAGTACAACAGTCATTCTGTTTTAATCGGTATGATACTTTTTAACTAGTTCGGTGATATGGTGTCCGGAATGTCATATTTTTAGGATGATTTTGCGCATAAATGTGAAAACCACATTCCTATAGAATCATATGTATTCTCAAATCTCAGTCTCAAGTTTTAAGCTTACGGCGGCCTGTTCAGACGTCTTAAGCCCTCTATTTCCTAACCGAGCGAATATTGTAATAAACTTTTTTTGTTTAAACCGAATAATAATAAGTCCTGACTGTATATACTAACGTGGATTTTGAAAGGCTTACAATTTATCAAAATACTAAATACGGGAAATCTGTTACTGAGACGTTGCACTTCCTCGTTTACTCTGAAAAAATGTATTTGGATCCATGCGATTATTATCTGATATATGAATAAAATATAAGCTAGCTGTAAAATTTCATCATTGAAGATGAGTGGCAGATATGACTATTGGAAAAACATTTACTAAATATAATTTTTAAATAACTACAACTTGAATGTACGTTAAGAAGCGGTTGCCCCCAAATGCCGTAATACGGTAGAGAGTGGAGAGAGTTCGCTCTCCCTCTCGAAATGCCCTCACATGGCCACGCGTATGTAGCCTCTGCCAGGGAAGTCCTACTCACTGCCTTCTCGTGGCGGGGGTGTTGTTTACGAAATTGAGAGGACGAAAAGCGAATGTCCGGTGCTTTAACTGGGTTGGTGGATATGGAGAATCCACCTAGAGTAGCTGGAAAACCCCGACTCCGAACCGATGGTGTACATGGGCTCCAGGATCCTGAGTGGACAAATGGCGTATGAACCAATTGTTTTCACCACCTACCATGGAACTGCATATCCTTACGGTCTCCACTGCCTTGTGGATCAGACCTTTTGGTCAAAGGCTCCTGGTGTGGCTCCCTAGGAAAATCACCTGCTTTGGTCTGGGCACCCGGGCAGTATCACAGCCCTCACAAATCTAATGAGATGACAATTATTTCACGAAATACTATGCTCGCTTCAATTAGAATTCAGACATTTCATATTCACACCATTCCTCTTCAGCTTCGCCATCGATAACTTTCCGGAAACAGCTTTGATGGATGTAAGTAATGATGGTGTGGGTCTGTTGCCTACAGAAAGACTTCTCGACCTTGAGTATGCGGATAATATTGTCTTGCTGTGCGATAATACCCAAGCCGTGCAATCAGCACTTAATCAGTTGGCAATTAGTGTCCGTAGGTATGGTATGTGCTTCGCACCTTCGCATACTTTTACAAGGCTGGCAGGACCGTGATCATGTACTCACCCTGGATGGTGAGCAGATAGAAGTAGTCGAGAAGTTCGTGTATCTAGGTAGCTGCACAAAAGCTGGCGGTGGCGTGAGTGATGAGATCAATGCACGAATAGTGAAAGCCAGAGCGGCTTATGCCAATCTGGGCCATCTTTGGCGCCTTCATGATGCTAGTCTGGCTGTAAAAGGTCGGATCTATAATGCGTCAGTGAGAGCAGTTTTGCCCTATGCTTGTGAAACCTGAACACTCCGAGTTGAGGATGTTAGACAACTTACTGTGTTCGATCATCGCTGTCTCCGAAGGATTGCTGACATCCAGTGGCAATACCATGTTAGTAATGTAGATGTTTGGCATCATGTATTCAAAACCGAGATGATAATTCAATTGGTGTCACTATCTTGAAACATTGACTTTGGTGGCTTGGACATGTTCTACGAATATCGTCCCAGAGAATTCCACGTCGTGCATTATTTGCCGATTCTGGGACTGGTTGGGAAATGTGGAGAGCTGGTCAGTGTATGACATGCCGTCGTGGTATGAAAGAAATCTGCAAAGGGTTGGCTTTTGTTGGTCCTTCATGAATCCCTAGCTGGGGTCCGAGAGATGGTGCGACACAGTGGCTAGAGACGTTATCAGATATGGCTCAGAATAGAAGCCAGTGGCGATCCTGTTGTAACCTTCTTTTACTTTCTTCATAAAATGTGACCGTAACTTCTTTAGCTGGAAGAGTTTTTTCTGGTTTTACCTTTACGTTTCCCCCGTTATTATTATTATTTCACTATCATACACTAATTTGTGGTCTTTATTATCCTTTTTTTCTTTTTATACACACTTTAAATTCTTTATATCTTCACATTCTCATTATTATTGTGTGGCGTATATGTATCTGGTGCCCCCTTGTACCAATATTTATGTGTTTGAATAAATAAATAAAAAGAGGTTCATTGTAATATGGCACAATGAATGTTGAGAATTTTTTGCTGTAACAAAATTTATAGTAATGAATAAAGCTTATAATAATAATAATAGAACTGCTCGTTTTCACTTCTAATGACATCGAAGTAAAGACATAAATTAGGTATCTTATTTATAATTTAACGACCGATTTGATAAGGTTTAGTGTGCATATGTGCTATTATTCTTTAATAAACTCTTTAAACTTAACAGTTATACTCTAAATGTGTGAAGAAAATACTAGTCACGTTTACGACACAGGTATTTTAAAAAATAATGAGAACAGTTTGTGGTTTGCACTTTTTCATATATGTTTTACGGAATTTAGCCGGTCAACCAGTAGAATAACTGTGAAATGTTAAATAGTTAATAAGGATTTAACTAAAAGGCAGTTTGTGTAGTGCTGGAGATTGTCCGATAATTTTCATAGGCTATTCATCAACCTTCACTAGCAATCTTAGTTACGCTATACAAATTGATATGAGTGATATCAATATTAGTAGGAATAAAAGTTGTTATCCGCATACCTGAGGACGTTTCACAAATGTTATAACTAACAAGAGCATATTTTCAGCCATGGAATTACTTGTCATTCAGTTGATGGTGGATACGATGTCGTCTCGAAATCTTTCATAATAGTTAGCAAGCAAATGAATTGAGATTTGCTACACTTTAGTGTATCCAAAAAGATATTGGTTAATTTGGTTTTCTTCAAAGTAATAGCTGATTAAACTGGAGTTTTGTGGTTCTACTTCCGATGCAAATATTCCACATAATTTTTGGGTCATTTCCTGTTCACTACATTCCTATCAGTTCATTTCACACGTCTTGGCACGAGCAATAAAATTGAGTTAGGCACAATATTTTTCAAAGAAATACTAATACAAAATAAATAGCAATTAAAGCATACGTATCATATGAAAGTCATATTAGGAATTTCAAACACTTGAATTATTCTATCCGTTCTGAGCATGGGAGCTTAATCATTAGATATCTATCAGCTTAACACGATTAATACCTTTCCTCAATTAATTAGTATAAAACCAACCCAGTGTCTATGTAGCAGTTCAACATTTTATGGTATGTAACAGAATGCAGGCCATTATCTTTCTTGAAGAAAAAAGAAATATACCATATACTTGGATTCGTTTCGAATCAAACCCTGGTGATACAAGGCTCTTTCTAATACTGTTTCTATAACGTAATTTTCAAACAGTCATTGATGCTCTCACTTATATTCAGTCGCGGGTAGCTTACTTTTGTTTATTACACTTCATTCTCCTTTCATTGTAATCACAAGGATTTTATGGAAGGAAGCGCTACTAAGATGAACAGGCCATGCTAGCCAAGCCTTTTCAAGAAGATTTTGGAGAGAAATCAAATGTCTAAAATGTTTGATAGTATTTTTACATATACGTAGCTAGTTGACCATTAATGCAAAACTCCTCGAACAAATACGACGGCATGTACCTGGTGAGAAGCTAGAGTGTGTGTGTGTGTGCGTGCAAAAGTAGATTATTATGATATATCGGCAGTCATATCCTTGTGGTGCCTATACCTGACTCCATTTATATCATATGCTGATTGTTATAAAAATATAAATGCCACCGACCCCTGTATATTATTATAGACTTAATTCCGGTTAACGAATAACGGAATAAAATAAATTAAATTCGTATGCTTCGTAAACTCATTGATATGAACATACATTTCGAGAAACAAAGTGAGGAAAGCGAAACAATTGGAGAAGGCTAGTGAGCCAACTCGATTTAATCAAACGCGACTCGATATTTATAGTCAGACAAAATTAAGTTACAGACACATAATGAATAGGGTAAGTAAATAACACATATATACTCAAACAAAAACAGCCAGGGTTAGTAAGCGAATTAGTGACAAGGTCAAGATGTGGCTTGAGAAGAATGAATAGATTGGTCTGTCCAGAAGCTAGAATAACCTACGTGGTTTGACATAGTACCAGCCACTACAACACATTATTAACAAAGATATGTATTTGCCATTACACTGTATAAACAGTTACGTCTATTAGTATAGCATCTACTAATATAAAATGTATCTTGAACATCTGTAGTAGGTCTCAACTATACCCTGAATCAAATAGGAGTGGAATCCACTGCTAGATATAATCCAGTTGTGCTAAAAACACTATTCCTAACACGGTTATAATACAAATATTTTAACTACTAATGAGTAGTCTTGTTTGATAAATGTCATTTTGCGTAACACCATCTGTGACTAAACAAATCCTTTTTTAAAACAATTAGTCCCTTTGATAAATTTCAATAATGTAATTAGGAGACGAAGATTATCGGAACTATGTGATAGGCTAAATAATTTGAAGACTAATATGAACTTTTAAACCAGGTTAGATAAATTTTGTAATGATCAATAATCTACAGGGGACTACAATAATAATCAGTCTTAAGAATTCATATCTGCTGGCTTTCAATATTCGGGACTCTTGGACAGATTCTTTAATGGTCCTAGCGTTTAAAAGATGCAGATTTTTCTTTACTCAAAATTGTCATTTTTTTCACGTAGGTCCAGAACTGTGATACCGAACACTTCAGAACTCAAGTTACTTTGTGATTACACCATTTGAGCATATTTTGTGTTTTTTATACATTATTTATTAAAGTCAAATCTATACTTACAAAAATTGAGGACTACTACAGAATCTTTCCCAAAAATATTATTTTACACTAAACTAACGCCACCTTCAATTCACAATTTTATGTGCTACCTATTTTTTATTTTGTCAATCTGATCATGATCGTGAGCCGATATGCATTCTCTGGTCATTCCCAGATGTATATATTATTATTGATCAGTATTGGGACTTTCAGTGACTTCAAACGTCATTAGACTAACCAATAGGAATGAATTGGATTCGCTCCTGAATATCAACACGTAAACAATTTAAACGTTTTATGTTAGTCACAACTTTTCTATTGATGGTAACTATAGTGAATCAACAACACTACAGTAGTGAGTACTACTGAGTGCTTTTTGATCAGCACCATTGGAATGCAAATACATCTAACTGAACAGTGCAAAATCGATCCCACTGACTTGGCAATTTATAAGGATCATTTTTGGTAGTGGTCTTTAAGACTTATGAATAATGTCTTAAAAATGAATATAATAAGGATATTTGAACGTATTCAAATATCTTAAACGATTTTAGTACGAAGTGCTTACCTTACACTCAATAAGTTTAGTTAAGGTTCCGATGAGTATTTCATTAGTACATTTCTAAGTGTTTCTCTGAGACCTATTCAGATATTGTATCTTTTAAGATGGAATCATTTTATTAGTTATTCAAATTTGCATCGATTCAATCTATTGCACTTCACATTAGGAAAGCGAAAGAGTGACAATTTCAACATTAATGGAGATTGAAGCATGAGAGATATGTTTCACAAGGGGTAGGTGAGATAAAAGTATGAAATATTGGGAATAACACTTAACTCATGAACAAGTAAAATATACTAAATGTATATAACTGCTCCACTGCCGTGGAATTTTCGCCATATCAGTATAGTATGTACCGCAACCAAGGAAGCTGTGGCTAATCAGCTGCCTTCTTGAAATATTTTCTGTCCTGTTGAATTTATGTGTACTGAGAAACATATGAAGAAACAATCTACTACACTGATCAATATTTTAGTGATATTTCACTCTTATGTGTGAATATTGAACTTACTGGCATTCAACAAATCTAAGGGATCACTTATGTTACGAGAAATCATGATTGTCATCTCGTTATGTGCGTTCTTAATTTGTGTATTCAGCGGGCAGATGTACATGTAGGTGTTATTGTATAAGTGATGCTAACAATCATATTTCTTTCTTGAGTCCTTAATGGTATGATTGAGACATTCTGTTATTTACTTTCGATATGATGGAGGATATTGTTAGCTCAATATGTAAATTTCGAAGGCATTGTATTGTTCACGAAGTTTCTCACTAAAGTGTGGGCTGATGTTGTTTGGAAAGAAAATGAAAGCTTTGCGATTAAAATATCCAGCTTACAGAAAACAGTGCCTTCAAAATATTATAGTAGTTATGATATAAAAATGCATGTATTTATAAATGAAAAGTTACTCATAAGACTGAACAGGTTTTCGGATACCATACAAGTTCTTTAAAACCGTTTGTTCCTCTGCTAATCATTTTTATCAGAAGAATGTTTTCTGAATACTAACTTCGTAGATTGTTGTTTCGGTACTGAAGTATCACATTTGTAATAGTGTAGAGAGTTTCCGACAATTCTAAACACTCATAGTGAAGTATAGTATTTATGAAATGTCGACCATGCAAGTAGAGTGGTGAGTAAGGTAACATTAATGTATGCTCAGTCATAATACTTAAACTATATTCTATTAAGACAATTCATAAAATTTCTAGCTAATGGCAGACAAATTATTTCATACAACTTTCACGGTTGGAATAGATATAGGAAAATCTATCATAGTTCTAATGTGATGTAGCGAGCAATGAATTATTCGGTTTGAGTAGGAATAACATACAACTGGTTTTTTATGATGTCATGTAATCATATCTTGAGAAAGCGCAATTACATAACTTAATCAATTAATTATAAATAATTAGTCTATATGGTATAGTTCGATTTATATAAATTTGATTGAAAATAAATTATATACGAAATAGTGTGTTTCCTGGGTCAAATAAATCCATTTCACCAGTTTCTGTGTTTTCACTACACGTTGTCGGATTCAAGTGTTCAGTACCAAACACAAACCAGTTTAGCACTCTGTAGATATAATAATGAAAGACATAACACAATGCTTACCGTCTTGAAACTATCGAATCACAACATATTCTACATCCGATTTGAAAAACAAACCCAAAGAAAAGACATTTTCTAATTAAACACACTCTCTGAAGGAGAAACTTTATAAAGCACTTGTAAAGGTAATTGATATTTACAGCTTTAAACTTAAATATCAATTTTGAAAACCTGGTAATTTACTTGGTATTGTTTGTCTTGTATCTTCCCATTGAGGTTTAAGACTGCAATTGAT